GTCCGCGCTGCCGGTGGTAGCCACATTGAGCACTTATAAAACATGAAATGAAACTTGAATGTATATACAACACATGTGTTCATGCTAGAGGTTTGTAAGTTTTTTCGTTTTTGACACATCACGTGATGATTTTTGCGTATTCTTTTTGAAACACCCTGTATAACAATATTCCTAACACCAAAACAATGCATTCTTCTTTATCTTTCTTACTACATTCACCATAATACCTCATTGTCTCTATGAAAGTCCTAACTAATTTCCATATGTACAATTCAGTGCCTATGGGGGGGAGAGGAATAAAACAACAATTTAAAAACTAACCCTAATGTGTATATATAATATTAATTCAAAAAGCTATTTAGAAGAAACTAAACAAAATAATGATAGTAATAAACCCCCACCACAATTCCTAACTATAGTGAAAAGCTCATCCGAACAATTACCATGAAAGTATTAATAGAAAAGACACAGGGAAGCTACATTATGGCGTTGGTAAAGTGACTGGAACCGAGACGCCAGATCAGGACCAATAATATTGCTGATTCCTCTTTGGGTTTTATCAAGGAACTCTAGATAAATTATAAAAATGTTATTTTTTTATTACTTAGTCTTTAGTGTGGTAAATAAATGTCTAACTGTCTCGGTTGTTTTTTATCACGATCGTTGAGAAAAAAAAATTCTTTTTAGATATTTAACCTTGAGAAAAGATGTATTTTTAAAGCCAGGGGGTTGTCAAAATAAATTGTTAAAGTTGTAAAAATCCATTTTAGAATTTGCGGTTAAAGAACAGCCAAAATTATTTGTGAATTGTTGCGGATTCATTTTTTTTTTTTTTTTTTGGAATTTATGGAGAAATAAATTTTCATATTTACTGATCAATGAGAGACACGCTTTCAAGCTGTGGTTAAAACCTGGATGGAGTTTTTCTATAAAAAAGGACTGCTGTTAGCGGACGGACTAGAAAGCAATTAATCGTCGAGAAGGAAACATTAGCGCCCACGCTTTAAGGATAGAGGATTAATCCAACCGAAGGGGTCATAAATCAACCGGGGGGAAGAAAGAACAATCGACAGCTATAGGACCATGATAAAAAATACTTTTGAGTATTTTAGCAATCATTGTCTTTTAATTTTGAGGAATCGGAGAGCCGAGTTCAAATTCCAGTCGAATCCATTACATTTATTTACGTGCTAATACCTTTGGGAAAGGTATGAATGCTCTTCTTCTCCCTCCAGCTATGGGTAAATAGATGGACAGACTGGGTTCTATAGCCTTGAATGGCAACTGGTCTACCGCAGAAAGAAATGGCAACCTACTGCGGGAAAAAAATCTGCCTCGTCTGTCATGTATCGAAAGATACATGATTTCCTAAGCGTGTATTACACATGACTGACTGTCTTTTAATTACATTGTTCTTTTCATAAAATGTATATACTCTTACATAGCACTCTCCCGTCGTTTATCGGCGCATGAGGGTCAGCACCTCAGTTCACAGAACTGAACAGGCAGACTACAGAGACACATATGATTCGATTCTAGAAGTAAAGTCTTACGAAGAACCAAACACACTTTTTGGAAGAGCCCAATACAAAGAACTGGTGCACGGTGTGCCAAGAGTTCACCAAATGACCCTTCTCGAGTTTTGAATTTAGAGTTAGTCTTCTCCAAGACCGGTTATCATCCCAGGCTATAGAATCCAATCTTCCCTGCTATTTATCCATAAAAGTGATGGGGGGGGGAGATAATGAATTAATTCATTCACTGGACAGAAAATTTCTTTCTACGTTTTCATAAGAAGAATTTAAACGAAACGAACGTTCAGGTTTAACTTTTCAGTAAAGCACTACATAAAGCCTTCGAGACAACAATCTGTGGAAAGAAAACACGTAACCCTTTCCTGCTGAGTCATTCCTATTCACGCTATTTACATTATTCGTATTATTGTCCTCATCTTTGTCGTCATATTTATTACAACGTTTCGGCCTTTCAGTATCTGTCTATATTTCTGAGATGAGGTATTATGTACACTATTTACATTATTCGGACTATTGTCCTCATCTTTGTCGCCATATTTATTACAACGTTTCAGCCGTTGTACGCTCCGGACTTCTTCAGGTGGTTGGAATGTCGAACTGAACCCTTTATTTCGCTCACTGGGGTAGACTGTTCTAGTTTCACGTGCTACGTTAAATCACTGGATCTAACCAACGCCTTTATCCAATGTGCCATGTGTGTCCTTGAGGACATCTGTGTATGAATAATAATAATAATTATACTCTGAATAATGTAAACAGTTTACATAATACCTCATCTCAGAAATATAAACAGATACTGAAGGGTGATAAATATAGCGACAAAGATGAGGGCAATAGTCTGTATAATGTAAATAGTGTACATAATACCTCATCTCAGAAATATTTTTTCCCCTGCTTCTTATATGTAGGTTATAATTCGCGATAATCGACCGAAATTAGTAGTACTGAAAATAAGTATCAGAGTT